CCTCTAGCCAACGGTAGCGGATTTTGATTCTCATAAATTCTGCTCATGAGTCATTTCCCAATGTAAGAAATTCTGCAGGTAAAGTCATATAAATAGAGAAAACACTGGCAACATTATTCGTCAGTCAATAAATGTAGTGATTGACTATTGATTGAACACCATGAACAGGATATGTTACTTGATAGATAGGCTCCATTCTTCAAACTTTTTTGTTTTCACACTGCGGAAATTCAAATAACGTATCCCGTTTTTGCTTTGGGATGGATACATATCTCAACGGCACACCCTCCAATTGGATAATGGTCAGTTTTATTTTTTATTTTTTTTTTGAAAATGATAATGTTCAGTTAATAAATAGGCGAAAACATAAAATAATTAGTAACACGGTACTATATTTAAACCTACTATAGTTATTTATATTAGGCATTTCTCACGAAGGATTGTTCAAATAAAGCTATTTTCCTGTTTTATTTCTTATCAATTTCTAATCATATTTAAACCCTTTAAAAAAAATCATATTTAAACATGTCTTCTTCTTTATAATAAAAACATCGAATCCTTTTATGATACAACAATAAATACACGTTCAAAAAGTGAACATAAACAATTTCTCTCGTTGCACATCATCCAACTACGCAACTCCAACCTAATCTTTCTATGAGATTGAGATTGTCTCATATCAAACTAGTAAAAATTGTGTGATTTTAAATCATTCTTAAATATTTTATTCTTACTTTATCAATTTAATATCAATAATATAAACATACTTTTATTGGCATACTGTCAGTCCTTCTTGTGCCATTGTTAGTGCGACAGAGAAAGTACTACTCTACATAGTAAAGTACAGAGTATTATATTCATGGGGCCGATCTAAGGCTCGAGTATTATATTCAGGGGACGGATATAGAGGGCCCCTGCCCACTCTAAATTTAAAAATTGTCTTGATTTTTAAGGTAATTTTTTTATGTAATTTTCTTTCCAAAAGTATATCCCCTGCCTTATAAAATTCTTTCCCATTGACTTGGATCAGAGTTTATAAAAGTATGAATAAACTGGAAATTTATGGTTGTGGTTGAGTAAGAAAAATATAATTGAATGTTAGCCTCACAAACTTTCAAGGACATGTTGAGTAAGACGACGTAGGTCACTACAAAAAAACGAGAATAACATAGATTTTTGACAAATTCGTGAAAATTCAAGGATTTGATAGAGATATGTCAAATTCGTGCCATAAACACTTTGACACAAGCTATTTGGCACAAAACATCGATTAATTCATATCAAATCCGTACTAGTTCCATGAAATGCGCTATTTACACTTCACCCGGCCATTGGCATCCAATTTATGTATTCACATCATGCCATCATGGGCACTCTTTTATTTACACTTAAATTTCCATTACAGTCTGCCAACTAGCTCCATGCATGTTTACTTCTGTTATTATTTGCCCATACGACTTCAAAATGCCTTGGCATGGGATGCATGTTTTACACACACATATATATCTCCGTATTAATTAAATATAGAGGACATAGAAATGAAGTTTAGGACGTTTTCCTTTAGCTCAAGTAAGGCCAGGCCGGTCATCTCCAATTATATATCCAATTTTTCACTCTTCTGTAAATTTTCTCCACAACCTAGCTACGTTTCCATGAACAATACCGCTCTTTAGGGTAGACTAGTAGTCTAGTTAGTAAGGCCATCTCCTTATTAGACAAGAAACTCGGGGCTAAAGTTGTCCCAAGAGGAATACCTTAATTGTGCTAGTTACAGTAACTATGTTTTACTCGATCTCTCCGTCCATAAAAGGATCACCAATTTGAGTATTTGACATTTCTGATTGTCACATATTCAAGCCAACTATATAAGTATTCACGAGTAATACAATTTTCAGACTGTTTGACATAAAAAAATTGAAATACTAGTGCTAAAAATAATACTGAGTATTAACAGGGGCGGCCCTAGGGGGGTGCAAGCGGGGCGGGCACCCTAGGCCCAAAAAATATGGGCAAAAAATAGGCCAATTTGTAACAGGTGTGAGTAGGCTGATTTTTCGTCCCTGAACTAACAATTTTTCGAGTGGAATTTTTTGAAGTTCTTTTGAATGGATTTTTTTAGCGAAACTTATGAATATGTTCTCTATGAAGTTTAGAGTATGTAAGAAAAAAATCAGTTTAAAATTTAATTTAGAAGTCGGCTAAATAAAGTATTGAAAACACTTCGGGTTTATACATATTTCGGCGCATTGTGTTTCCATAATTTATTTAACTGACTTCACGATTGCATTTTAAGCTGAAATTTTGGGGACGTAATCTACACTTGATGAAAAATTCTCTTAAAATTTCGTAAAGAAATTCCACTCGAAAGTAGATTAGTCTGATATAATTATTTGATTAGTTTATTAATTGATTCCATTCATGGTTGTTTGATTTCTTAATTGTTGATTGTTTTCTATTGAGTGTGGTGTTATAACTTGTTGGTTTTGTTAGACAAACATTTTCAATTATGATAAAATTTATAAACTTAATTAATTTCAAAGTGTAATAAGAAGGATTGAATCTGAATACGATAAATACAAAAGAATAGAAGATTAGAGAAAGCGGCGATAAGTAAAAGAAGTTCAATGGAAAAGTTTGTTTGTGTAAAGAAGTCAAGTTGTGAATATCCTTCTCAAGATGAGAACACACAGAAGAACAATAATTTAGCTATTTAAAATGAAATAATTCAGAATGATTACATCATTGGATGTGATAATAATAAAGTTAATTCCTTAAATATACGACCTAAACAATAGTAAAGTGTACAAATAGGATCATCATTGTTTCCTTCGTAAATAAGGATCACCAATACTATAATGTGATTGGTTTAAACAGAATAGGGTTTTATAATGTTTAATAAGTGTCTTGAAATATTATTATAATAATTATTATGCATGTCATTTTAGATAGAAAAGAGTTCTACATACAAATTTTTTGTAACATTAGGCCCATTTTAATCTTTCGCCCCTAGGCTTTCGAACATACAGGACCGCCCCTGAGTATTAATAAGAAATGATGATGATGTTAGTGATGACGATGACAATTATGATAATGATAAAGATGATGATGCACGTGTCTATTTATACACAAATATTTTTGTTGTCTACGCACACAAAATTTGTACACAAATTGTATACAAGTATTTCGGCATAAAATTATCCCCCTTTTCAAATGCATTACCTGTGTACACAAGCAATTATGGGTGTGTGTACAATTTGTATACTAATTTTGTGTTCAGATGATTTTTCTTTATTTTTTACTTACTTCACTGCAATTCTTACAGGATTATGAATAAAAGTGCAGGAGTAGTAGATAATGTAGAGTGTGAAATTGTATGAGTAAAAATATTAAAAGGCCAGGAGGAAATAGATATTCCCTCTTGATATCATGAATTGGCCCAGTCCACTATACGAGGGGTGGGTAGGAGGTAGAGTATTTGATACCCGACCCACTTGATTTGCTCGACCCGTCAAGAGTCAAGACCCACCCCAGTCCGAGCTATTAAGCCCAAATGAGCCCAACCCAGAGCCCTTCTATACACTATTAGTTTTATACACCAATAATTCATAATTACATACTCCGTATAAAAGTAATGAATAATAATAGTAAAAGAAAATGAAATTCTGAATGATTGTTAGGTAATAAAACTTGTGACCGAACTTGAGAATTTAGATACATAGGAGTAAATATGATATTCCGTAGTTGTAGATCTCTTTTTCAAGAGTGCACCACAAAAACTTAGATATACTTCATATATAATTAGAACTTTCATTTTGTTATTACATTTTTGGAGTAATATTTTTTTTCACTCATTTAGTTGATTACATTGTAATTCGTATTTTGTAATGCATAGAGAATTTTTGTATCTAAGCTCAGACCTATTGGTGGCATGTGAGCTAGCCTGACCCGGCTCCTCAAGCCAAATTATATAGACGAGTTAGAACCACATTTTTTATACAATAGTCTAGTCCAACACTCCAACCCAACTCATTAATTATTACTACATTTGTCCCCCTATTATTGTCCAATTGCGGTTTACAATGTTTGACCGACTATAAAACAAACAAATCCACGTCCGCACTCAAATTATTTTTAGAAAAAAAATATATATTCAAAAACTACATTCAAAACTTTACAAAGTCGCGAAAACAGAATCAAATTTAATAAAAATTTGATATACCAAGTAAGAGATAAAAGAATGATTTGTTTTAACCAAGTGAATATAAAATGAGACAATAATAGAGGGACAGAGGAAGTATTTTTTATTGAGTCTGGCCAGGTCTAAGCCCAAACCCATTAGTTTTGGGCCGATGTGACCCGAAAGGCCGAAAACAATCAAAGAAAACAAATAAAAGAAAGTTCCAATCTCCGATACTTTACTTAACAAGTTGAAGTATTTTATGAGCTCCGAGCCTCCGATGCAAATTCATGTACTCTTTACTCCTCCATAGATAAATTCAAGTACCGAATCGATACTGTACTCCAACTGGAGTGAAGTGTCAATTTCTTTACTGCATAGAAAAGAAAAATGAAAATTGAGGAAAAAGAAAAAAGAAAAATCCAAATGAAGGGGAGATTTTTTTAAGACTTTCACAGAACAGCATCGGCTGGTTGATGTTATATTGTTATTGATGAATGATGAAGATACAAATTTTGAACTAACAGGGGGGGTGGGGGTGGGGAATTTAGAATGATGATATCTATGGCAACAAAGCCAAACACAGTATGTGATTGTGAATGAACTAGTAATAGCCAAGCAAGACACTTTGAAGGACCCAAATACCAAATACCACAGGATCCGGACTGGGACAATCCTTGAAAATCACTATAGAAAGGGGCGATCTAGACAGAGACCATGATTTTCAGAAACCCTTCTATGCAAGTGCTATTTGTTTCTTACCATATATTAGGTCCTCATATACCACAATCACTTCACCAGACATGAAGTCCCCATATCAAAATGCAAAAAACAAAAACAAAATATTGATGAAATTCCGAAGAAGAAAGAACACCATCTATACAGACAAAGCATCATCAATCACGAACCATATCAGCCATGAGATCATCATACTATGTTAACAGAAGGTGCAACAGATGTTAAAGGAAAAGGAATACTGAGCAGAATGTAGAGTTTATTGATTGATCTAAATATAAACTAGCTTTGGTTTCATGTACAAATAGAGGCATTTAGTGAAAGAGCACATCGTTCTATCTCTTAAAGATCCGTTTTTCCTGCAATTTCTTCCTCTTCTTCACTACAAGCATATTCGTCTTCGCTCAACTCCTCATCGCTAGACTTCTCTTCCGGCACCACCCCAGCATCTGAAGCCTTTGCATATTTTTCACAGAACTCTGAAAGTAGATGATATGAGTGATTCTATCTTCAAATTCAAATATGTTCATACAACACCATCATTCTTGAAAATTAGAACAAATCACTCTCACCATGATATACAAATTAACTATACAGCTAATGAGCTAATCTGCTACAACATTCCTCCAAATCGGATTCTTAATCATAATAAAGCCAACTAACAAAAACTGCCCATGCAATACAGTGCCGTAATCCATTCCAATGTCACTTCATAGAAAAGATTACATGAGCCACATCAATTCCAATTTTTTACTAGTGACCTATGAACCTGTACATTGAATGATAACCAAAGTACATAAAAAGAATAAAGTAAAAATACTCGTATGGTGCATACAAAATGCTCAGCACAAGTACCAAACTATGAGATAAATCATAGTTGTCATGGCGTATTTATGGCATCACACAAAAAGTCTACCACAAATATAAACTACAAACAATATAAAATTATAAATGAATAAATCTATAATTCAACCACCAAAAGGTGAGTAAAAGAGTTGAATAACCATTCGAACCAAAATATGTCATGTTAAAGTAGTTTAAAGTAGTTTAAAAATAACTTAATATCCAAAACATGTCGACTTGCTACCCGTATTCGGTGATTATGATCTAATCATAATCAATTATCACTCCTTTAGTGAAAGTGCAGTTCCCCTCAGTTGTTCCGCTTTAGTCATGCCCAGCTTTCTCTGGCTTCAATTCTATGTTAACTGGCCTCCTATGTTAGTTGGGTCATCAGTCTCTCTCTGTGAGTATGTGCTTTAGTACAGAGGCAAGACTGCGTACATCCAACCCCCCTTATCCCACCGTAGGTGGGAGCCTTTGCGACACTAGGGTAATGATAATGATTAAGGTTTTTATTTATATTATGGACAGTTTCCATCATTTCCAATGGAGCCAAAGACTTGATATTTTTTGGCTTGAGAATATGAGGGAATAAATTGTTAGTGATATTTTGAGATTCTAGTTTTAACATGTTCCACTTGAAGTGCTTCCACGCAAGTATTGTATATGCGGTGGCGCCATATGCAGTGGCGCCGTGATATTTTGAGTAGATTTTAACATGTTCAGTTAGTTATTGTTGGGCTTTGCCCTGATTATTACTTAACTAGACAGCCTATCCATAATATAAATACAACAACAATACCCTAGTGCCGCAAAGCTTCCCACCTACGGTGGGGTAAGGGGGAGTCATATATGCACAGCTTTACCCATATGTACTAAAGCACAGAAAGACTATTTACCAATGACCCGTGATGAAAATCATGTCAAAAATTGTATGGACTGACTGTTGCTTCATAACCAGGAAGCGCAGACAGTTTAGTGAGGCATTTTTGCTTGATTCCGCATATACCTCTTAATCTTTAGACCAAATATTACGGTAATTGTTGCTTTTGTGATTCTAGTTTTACTCCATTTCCATTCAAGACTTTCACAGTCTCCTAAGACCCTTTTGATTCCTCATTTTGATACTTTGTTATTGTCAATTTCTAATTCATCAATTTTATCCACAATTGAGTTCATTCGAGGTTGGTCTCCGAAATTCCAACCTTTTTAGCATATTAGCTGGGGGAATCATGAGAAGTGCAGACGGAGTGAACAGATTTGGCTCTTGGATTTTCTACGGCTGTAAGAACAAAAACATTGTTGGAAAAGAAATGGTAGAAAGAAAGAAATGAAAGATAAGAATGACTGAAAATGTGAGTTGAAACAAAAAAGTAGAAATAAGATTAAAGAATATGGCACGGAGAAAGAAAGGAATGAAAAAAATGGATGACCATGGAAGAGGAGACAGAGGGGGCAACTAATTTAAGAAAGAGAAAAAGTAAATGAGAAAGATGAAGGGCTGGCAGTCTGGCACGATGTGGGATATTTAATTTGGGGTAAGAATACATCACATGGGTGCAAATGGTACTCTAGTCTTTAGTGGCATTTTAACCAAAAAGGAAATGTTGCATTTATTTTGAAACTTCCGAAAAAGGAAAGTGTTGCTTTTATTTAAGAACGGAGGAAGTATGTTGCCATCATATAAACTAAATATGCACTTCCAATGTGCTCATTACTAATTTACTAGGAGTGATTTAGGGCACTACAGAAAATTGCAAGAAAGATGATCCAAAGAATGAAATGTGTGCATCTTATTAGGAACTTGAAATGTTGGAAAGAAAGAATTGATTGGGATAGACTGATAGAGGAGTCTCACAAGATTTTGAAGTCTACAGGCAAAGGAATCTGATTATGTGTGGGTTTCATGTCTATGTTTGCCATGAAAAAGGAAGAACCAATACGAAATTTTGGATCTATTGTTTTCTAGCGCCTAGCGAGAAAGAACCAAGTAAGTCCTAAAAAAGAAATGGTTGGTACCTAACATAGTCAAGACACAAGAATTAATTTTCCGAAGGTAATCCGTTAATTGACACCAAGGCCCTACTGTAGCTATAACAAGATCCCATAATCATTATAGGAAACATCGAGATAAAGGCTAGTAAGGAGCTGACCAAATTGAACAGGGAATAACAATAGCAATATGAGTAGGACACTAAAACTAATAATAATATTAATAAAAAGATACTAATAATATCAAATAATAGCAAGGCTTCTTCTACAACACTTCACTGCTTTCCATCCATGTTGGCGTAGGACTGCAGATTCCCGTATCATTATCATGAAGGGAGCACGAAAATGCTTTGTAATATTATAAATAAAAGGATACTGATAATATCACAATAATAGAAAGACTTCTTCTACAACAATATACACCTTTCCATCTGCATAGCAGAGTAGCAGACGCAGATAATGGAAGCTAAACACTTGGAGATTCAATGCTAGGTTGGAATTATCTAGGTTGCCTAAGTCTTATGCTTGTATATATTTAATCCATGGGTGCATGAAGAGGGTTGGCATATAAACCATGTGGATTACGTGTCATTTACTTTTGTGTGTTTAATCTGCATGTTGAACCATTACGCACACAACTTCCAACAACTACCACAACATCAAACTTAAGCGTGAATGCAAGCTCAAGTATTGGAAGTTTATAAATGCATAACTACAACTAATACTTGATCCCTCTTTTCGTTGGAGACCAATTCATGCACGCCACCACCACCGCGAGTCTTAATCGCCGTTTTGTCTTTGATCTCCTTTCTCAGCAATGATATGTTTTAACTTTAAAGGGCCCGTCAATTCCTCTTCCTTCTCCGATCTCACCTGGAATGTTTGCTTGTCATCAGCCAACATTGTGCGTCAGCAACTTCCCAGGAAGCAGAAAAGAGTGGGGGGGGGGGGGAGAAGGGGGAAAGGGATATTTTATGTTTGGAGAAGATTCAAGTTTTATGCTTCATGCTTTCAAGTGAAATGGAGCAATGCTAAGTAAAGACAAGTTAAATTTGATGATGCTAATGTAGGCACCAAGAGTAAAGTTCATGTTTCCACTTTCCAGTTTTCTGATCTAAATTCAAGTTTTGTAACAAGCTTGGAGCTGACGTGCTTCAGCCTGAAGTGGGGTGAGTGTTAACTGTTAAAGAATGGTAAATAGAAACCTTAAGATTGAGATCAGTAAGTTTGCCATCATTCTTTTTCTAGAGAAATAGTGTGTTACCATTAGAAATTAGGAAGTTGTGAGTTTTATATCAATTAAAGATTGAACTATTCAATGGGATGATGGTCACTTGATAATTCCTGAACATTTGAATCGGCATAAAGAGATAAAGAGCATCTCATTGAGCAGATTCACATAAAAAAAGAAAGAATGTTTTTTCCTAACATGCAAAGAAGAATTAATCAAAATGGTTTTTAGAGCCTGTTATCAATGGGTTTTTCTTTTATTTTGGAAATACCCTTTTATTTACTATTTATATCAGAGCGTGAAAGATAAAATGTTACCCTATTGGGACTCTTGAAATATTGTATTAGCAGGCTTACATACTAAAATCCTATTAGCCATAGGGCTGTTTATTACGTAGTATTATATAATTGCATGCAAATTTACATCATTGGTTGCCTGATTAATATTCAGCATTCCTCTTTCTATCGAATCTGCAAAAACTTTATTGCCACTACTGCTTGAGTAAAAAACATATTTATTACTCAGCGAATATCCCTTGAAAGCTCAAAATTGATTGGAATGAAGGTGCTGCATTCAGTGTCCCACACGCACATCACTTAATAGCAATCCATTGTGGAAGCAAATAATGAAATCTTATAGAAAGAAACACATTAATGTGAAAATGAATCATTCCATCCATTATATATGTTCTTAACCAAAAAACAGACAAAGTTTATGCGTAAGTGCAAGGCAAAAATTAGACCACATGAACTTTTTACCTTTCACTCTTTGATCATAAGAGGGCCGATCACGCATCATTAGAGCTGCAGCCTCTCCATTCAGTGGGTCTGATGGGTTAGGATACAATAGCAGTTGAGGAAGAAACACTTCAAACACATTTACCAGATCTGCAAGGAATGGGGATGCCATTAAAGTATTAAAGTATTAATACGAGAGGAAAAACAGTAAAATCATCAATTACCAAACATAGGGCTCCATGTCTGATTTATAACATCTAAGCAAACCGAGCCTGACCTGAAAACTCAAAAGCATGGAAGTGTAGATTGTTCAGTCCATCTTATATCCAAATCATGCAATGAGTTATGTCAACAAGAGAAACTAAGGAAGAACAGTATATACACCAGCTCACATTTCATCAACATTGGGATGATAAATCTTATTGACAAAACCAATAGAAGGAGACTTATAAGGATAGGCATCTGGCAATTCTACCCTCACTTTCCACACACCATTTTGATAAGGACCTGTCAGAGCACAAGATATTGCAAATCAAACTGTGAATGAAGACAAGATGAGCTTACTTTTAAAATTTACCCCATACGATTTCATGAAATCATCTGAATAAAAAGAGACCTTCACTGGGATAAATCAGTGAACAGATGAAATGCACACTCATTATGATAAGAGTAAATCACACACTCAAGAAACGAAAGCAACTTAACTTCAACAAACACCCAACCTATATACCACAATATCTTATACTACGTATTTCACTTAAAGGTAAGGTAATTCGATCAGTATAAACTCATACCACCCAGATTTAAGTTCAGTTCATCAGTATAAAGCGTAAAAGCTACTGCCTTTGCACCTTGGGGAGTTACAAGTCGACACAACTGACTGGGAAAAGCAAAACACATATTTCTCAATTCACAATAATCTGATCTAGCTCAAACCCATACTCGAGACACAGACACACGGAAACACACACAGAGGGGTGGGGGTGGGGGTTCGAGAACTTTACTCTCTTTGGGTCCGTGAAATTCTACATAGAACTCCTGCATTCCATCATTGATCATCTCGACCTTGTAGTCGCTCATCATCCTAAAGTTCCCAGAATTAAAATCCGCAGAGTAAATCCAGTTACTTTTCGTTTATGTATTTTATAAAATAACAGAAAAACCTATATGTAGAAATTAAAAAGAAGATTCGAGTTGTAAATTTGGGTTAAATTACAGTTTCATCAAGTCCATCTCCCTCCGCTTGCTTGGTGAAGACATGATTACAGTGTGTTCTGGTTCGTTCTGCAAATTCTAGAACTGAAAGATTAGGCGAACACACAAAAGGGGCAGAAAGCTAGAGGCGGTTCAGACAGAATAGAGTTATAGGTGGACTCCTCTCAGCCTTTTTTTAAATATTCAGAATAGTAGAGTTAAAGGTGGATCAATTGAAGATTAATGCAGATAAATCTGCCTTTTATTTTTCTTTAATTTAATTTAATTTAATTTCCCACCATTATCTTTTTTCTTGTGTTATTCCCTACCATTATCTTTCTAGACAAATCTGAATTTTTTTGAACATGTTACTCATCAAGTCTAGTTTGTCCATACCAAATTTCAGCTCAAAATTCGATCGGGAAGGCATTCAAATCATTTTTTGAAGTTGACTGCGTCAAAGTATACATATAAAACTGCAGTCAACTTCAAAAAATGATTTGAATGCCTTCCCGATCGAATTTTGAGCTGAAATTTGGTATGGACAAACTAGACTTGATGAGGAACATGCTCAAAAAATTCATCAAAAAGTTCCACCGGGAAGGTGCCCAAACGGGCTCGGCCGGACGGAGCATCCTGTCAGGCCGGCCTGACAAGAAGACCACTCTATCTTTCTATACCTAGAAGTAACATATACCTCCTCCATCCAATAACATTTGATCAAGTTTAATTTGCACGGAAAATAATAACATGCCTTAAGATCACAAAAACAAAAATGGAGAAATAAGGCGAACCGCTTTCGTAAGTCTAAAAAAATTGTATGATTGAGATTTATGTAGAGGAAAGAGAAATAATTTTAATTACACATGTATTACTTTAAATCAATATGACAAATATTTTTAGACAACTAAATAAAAAAATGTAACAAAATTTTGCGAATAGGGAGAGTATAAAATAAGAAGCATTGGACAAACAAAGAACCACAAGGGAATTGGCACTCATCACTCACCGGTCACCTATAACTCCAATCATTGAATTATTCTGATTTGATCTCATTTTTTATTTAACCTGAACCCTTCTTAAAAAAGTTCATTTTTTAAGATGAACCTTTCTTATTTGATCTTAATCTTTTGGAGGCCGATTGGTAATACTTAAATCGGCTGTATTGGCTAATTCTGTTGAAATTTATGAAATTGTGACTATAGTGGCTGAATTAGCTGATTGTGCTGATTTATGAAAAAGTTATATTTAAAATACTCCCTCCGTCCCAAAATCGTTGGCCAATGTTGACTTGCACGTGGATTAATAAAGTAAAAACTGTGTGGTTAAAATTTGTGCAGAGGAGAGAGAATTAACTTTAGCCACATATTACTTACTTTAAATGGAAATGGCCAACCTTTTTGGGACGGCCAAAAGAGAAAATTTGGCCAACCATTTTGGGACGGAGGGAGTATATTTTACTTCGTATTAACAAAATCAAGAAAAAACTATACGAGTATGAAAAATAGCTAAAATGATCCTCTACAATAACTTCAGCCAATACAGCCAGGAAAGTAACTTCAACTTTACCTTTTCGTATTATTACACAATTTAACACACGAAATAAAAAATCATGTGTTTGGTGAAAAAGTTGACTGGTAAGCATGATGAACCAAAAAACAGGGTCACCAAACAAGGCTCTTGATCTTGTGTAGATGTATACTCCCTCCGGTTCTTAATGAAGTTTACACTTTGACTTCACACATATTAAGGAAATAAATTTATTGAGGGAGTAATATAAATGCAAATATTAAGAAGACTATTATTATTATTATTATTATTATTATTATTATTATTATTATTATTATTATTATTATTATTATTATTATTATTATTATTATTATTATTATTATTATTATTATTATTATTATTATTATTATTATTATTATTATTATTATTATTATTATTATTATTATTATTATTATTATTATTATTATTATTATTATTATTATTATTATTATTATTATTATTATTATTATTATTATTATTATTATTATTATTATTATTATTATTATTATTATTATTATTATTATTATTATTATTATTATTATTATTATTATTATTATTATTATTATTATTATTATTATTATTATTATTATTATTATTATTATTATTATTATTATTATTATTATTATTATTATTATTATTATTATTATTATTATTATTATTATTATTATTATTATTATTATTGTTATTATTGTTATAATTGTTATTATTGTTATTATTGTTATTATTGTTATTATTGTTATTATTTTTATTATTGTTATTATTGTTATTATTGTTATTATTGTTATTATTGTTATTATTGTTATTATTGTTATTATTGTTATTATTGTTATTATTGTTATTATTGTCATTATTGTTATTATTGTCATTATTGTCATTATTGTCATTATTGTCATTATTGTCATTATTGTCATTATTGTCATTATTGTCATTATTGTCATTATTGTCATTATTGTCATTATTGTCATTATTGTCATTATTGTCATTATTGTCATTATTGTCATTATTGTCATTATTGTCATTATTGTCATTATTGTCATTATTATTATTATTATTATTATTATTATTATTATTATTATTATTATTATTATTATTATTATTATTATTATTATTATTATTATTATTATTATTATTATTATTATTATTATTATTATTATTATTATTATTATTATTATTATTATTATTATTATTATTATTATTATTATTATTATTATTATTATTATTATTATTATTATTATTATTATTATTATTATTATTATTATTATTATACACTATTTTGACACTGTTCGACACTGTTTTGGCACTGTTTTGCACAGTTTGGTGTAGATTTGTTTGCCAAATAAGGAAAAAAAAGGAAGTGTAAAGTTTAATATGGGACTGCCCAAAAAGAAAGTGTAAAGTTAAAAAAGAACCGAAGTATTATTAATGCTACTTCCTCCGTATTTTTATGTTCACTACATCAGGTTTGACACATTATTTAAGGAGTAAAGTTGTAGGTGTAATGAATAGTGTAGAAAAGGTAAGAGAGAGAGAGTGTAACAGTATGAAAGAAAAAATAAAAAGTAGAAAGGGTAATGGTAATTGAGTACCTTTTTTTATAAAAGGTAAACTTACCAAAATTGGAAGTGTAACAAAATTTTAAACACATCCCAAAAAGAAATGTGTAGCAAACATAAAAATACGGAGAGAATATTATTTTATGTTATAGCCAGGGGGTCAGGGTGGTCAGTCGACCCCGCTGAAAATTTGAGAGTATAGATCTCTGAAATATCTTCGATTTGATATATTATGGCCACCGTAACTCATTACGAGTAAAAGTTTATGACTTCTGAAAAATCAACACTATGTAAATGTAAAATCAGCAAAATTGATTTATACTATAGATTATTTTCCCAAATTTAAAAAATAGAGTATAATTCACTCAATACTTACGTGACACGACTTAGAAACAGAGTAAAGATAATATATCTTATTGCTACGAGTACCTATTTATCTAAATTGCATATGAAATATTCAACTCGGACATTGTTTAAAAACGATCCACCATTTTCGTTTTATATATAGGTTAAGCTTCGACCCCCTGACTCCCTGAGCCGTTTTTCTGGCTCCGCCACTGGTTATAGCCACCTAAAAAATATGAGGCATGACTAGGCTTGGACTCGGTGCGGGCCACCTGGCCCGGCCCATAACTGTGTGGGCCCGGCCCGGGAACCGGGTATCGGTTCCGGGTCTAGGCCCGGTTCGTGGGGGGTAAACGGGGGGGGGGGGGGGGGGGGTACGGGCTAAGGGAAATGCGAACCGGGTCGACCGGGCCCGGGTCCTGTTCGGGCCTAATTTTGGTTTTTTTTGGTTTTTTCAATTCTTTTTTGCTTTCCCCCGGGTTGGGCTGGGTCACCAGGGTGTTTTTGGGGGGTTTGGGGGTTGGGGGGGGGGGGTAGTTAGGAAAGTAAAAAAAAAAAGTTAAACGGGCCCGAGCCCGGTTCGAACCGGACCCGGACTGGACCCGGTGGATACCCGGGCCGGTTCCGGGCCTAACCCCAAACCCCCAAAAGCCCGCCAGGCCTAGGCCTGACCCGGGCCCGGTCCATCATAGGCATGACAAGACGACAATGCTAAATCTCAATCACCTTTGAAGTCTAGTTGAAGTTTAAGTATGGAAAAACGCTTTAGACTTTTATTGATGACTACTAAAACGTTTTTTTTTGTAGTGACATATGTAAAAACAAGAATAAATGTCCAAAAAAACTATAAAAGATTGAGCCTTATTTTTTTACTTTAATGTATACAATTCTCAAATGTATATAATTGAAAATGCAAAATGATATGTTGTTTCTTTCTACTACGTATTAAATTCTATATATGGCATGTTTATAGAAGTGATTTTTTAAAATTTATTCAACTTTTCTTTGTAAGGATTAAGTTAACTAAAAAAAACTTATGTTCCTTAATAAAAAACTAAAAACCTTTTACCTTTACAAGCTAGGATCTGCCATTAGTGCCTAAGTTTATGTCTTATCACACCTTTGATGGGGTAAGACTGCGTACATCTGACCTCTCCATTATACCGTCTTTTCTACCTTTTTCTACTTGTGGGAAGTTTTTCCGTCGCCTCACGCCTCAGCGTGTCTAGGTTTCCATCTTTTCACGTCGTTTAGAACCATGATTATTAATAACTTGATCATGAACATTGTAAGACGAGTTTCCTCATTGGATCGAATTTTCATAATAGTACTACGTATTAGTTTATTAAAATATTAATAACTTGCCATGGGAAGGAAACTCACGTCATGAATTTTTAGCATACCTAATAGAATAAACCAACTCATGAATTATCAATCATTTTCCATCATTTCCTCATTGGATCGAATTTTCATAATAGTACTACGTATTAGTTTATTAAAATATTAATAACTTGCCATGGGAAGGAAACTCACGTCATGATTTTAGCATACCTAATAGAATAAACCAACTCATGAATTATCAATCATTTTCCATCATTTGCAATGGAGCCAATGATTCATTATTTTTTGGCTTGAGAATATGATGGAATAAAGCAAAATGACTCATTAAACTGTCTGCGCTTCTTTGTTGTGAAGCAACAGTCAATCCATGCAATTTTGGACGTGATTTTCACCATGGGTCATCCGGAAACAGTCTCTCTGTGCTTTAGTACAGAGGTAAGACTACGTACATCTGACCCCCCTTACCCCACCGTAGGTGGGAGCCTTTGCGGCACTGAGGTAAATGAAAATGAATGAAATGATGAATTATCAATCATTGTTTTTTATTGCAGCAGCACTTTCAATTATAAAAAAACATTTAGAAAGTAGCACTTTCCTTGTACACATTCATGGCCTGTAGAACGGGTTAACTTTCAAAACATTATGACATACTTGCTCCTTAGTCCAGACCACGAACTGTATATGAAATGAACGACCTATACCCAGAACCTAAATTAGAAGGTTACCCTTTTTCCTATTCAAAGATCAAATATGAAAGTAGACCACTACCTCTACTATCAACTTACAATTCCTCATAACTCATAACAAGAAAGAGCTACAAGTGTTTTCTTTCCTCAAAAACAGGGAGCTGACAAACCTGAAACCTGTAACATACTACTTTCTCATAGAAAATGAAAGCACAGGTCTATGTAACAAGAAGAAATCCTCAGCTTGTATATGTGTGTGTGTGCGCATACACACTATTCCAGATCGGTGCACACCTTATTCTCTGTGCATAAAAGTGGCCTGGACCCTGGAACATAAATTGTTTTTCATATCCAAAACGGCAGCCTACCAATCCAAATTCTTTTTCATCATCATCACTGTCGATATCTTTTGGAGTTACACGATTCTGATAACTCCGGCGCTTGACAAGGAAAACATTATAGTAGTAGCTAACCAGCATGCTCTTTGTCTTTAATGGAATTTTTTTTGCAGCACTGTTCCAGAATTTATTTGGAGTTGTTGCATTCTGTCTCATCAAATTTTTGAATTTTTCCTCCTCTTCTTCAGTCCATGAAAGGGAAACTTCCTCCCCCATGCGGTCAAATCTCCATTGGTAGAATAGCCGGCCGAGCTCAAGTTTCAGTTTGTATCTTTTCTCTGCAGTGTGAAACCTTATACATTGAACAGATGAAGGAAACTGGCAATCACATTGTCCTTCTCTTCCCCTTCCAATACGATCCAATTCATTGAAGGATTTTGTTTCTTCAGGAGGCCACATAAGTGTGCCTTGCCACTTGGAATCGCTCTCGGAAATCAAACCAGTCCATTCAGGGACTTCGGCTTGGTGGAGAGGGCCCACTGGAACTTTCGGAAGGCTCGTTGGTTCTTCCCGTGAAACATTTTTGGCAGATTCTGGTTCTCTTTTTTGAGTACTAACAACGTTGTTATCAGTAGGAGAGGATGAGTAGTTGATGGGACAAGAAAGAGGATTGGTCAAGGAAAATATTCTTTGGCTGCATCTCATTTTTTCCATGGATACATGATCGGGTGTGTTATCATCATACATTGAAGGGTGCATTTTAAGCTTCTTCTGTGGTTTTAGTTAACATGTAACATACACCCAAAAAGAAAACAAAAAAGAATTAATTACATACATATAAGATACTGTGAAAATTAAAAAAAAAAAAAAAGATGTCCACCGAAGGATAAATTAACTTCAGTGCCAACTTTACATCCCACCTCCCATCCCAAAATTTATGCCCACTCCAATTGAAATTTTAGGGCAGACAAAAAATGGAACTAGGAAAATAATGCAAGGACAAGAGATTCATGTCCCAGTAACCTCCTTCCCCCCTCGCGAAAGGATTTAGTTGGATTGCCCATCAATTGATCAAATGAATTGATAAACCTTGCGGTGATGCAAAAAACCAACATTCAGTTATCACAAATAAAGATATACTACCTCCGTCCCTTTAGAAGGTTTCCGTACACTATTCACATGGTCAACTTAATTCATTTTTAATCTTTTGCTTTATATATCAAATTTTTATCAAATTTACATATTTTTATCAGGCTTTGTAGCGGTTTTATTGCGGTTTTATTGTAGTATCTGAGTATGTAAATTTTATTTGCTAAAAATAATCAGTGTAAACAGGGATTAAGACATTAAGTTGCTTTATCATCAGTCAAGCATCGTAAACCGTTACGGGAACCTTCTAGCGGGACGGAGGAAGTAACACTTTATCATAGAATTTCTATAATATTTCTTAGCATACTAGCAGCAAAAGAAATAAATATCCGGCCGTGTGACAGTGAGGAAATAATTCCCCATATCTTGGTTAAAATATAACAGAGGCAACCGTAGGGTTGTCATAGTTCTATAGTGAAGCAAGTCGATTTCTTCTCAGATTTACTTCTACCACTGCGATAGTCAATACCAATAAAGCACCCTAACAAACTTGTTGAAGAGTGTTGAGTAAAACTTAAGATGGAAGGTCAGTTGGTGCTAGTTGCACAACACATCTAGATTACTCCTAGTCTCCTATTCACTTTCACTCTAAAGCTACACAACTTTTGTGCCGAAGAGTTTACCTTCATTTGAAAATTGAAATGTGTGAGAATGAAGGTGAATGTTTGTATGTAATTAATAATAAAAATTGTTAGCATTCTGCCAGTTCTTCCAAATCCATCATTTGCAATGGAGCCAAAGACTCACTATTTTTTGGCTTGAGAATATGATGGAGTACAGCAAAATGGCTCATTAAACTGTTTGCACTTCTATGTTATGAAGTAGCAGTCAGACCATGCAATTTTGGACTCGATTATCACTATGGGTCATTCGGGAACAGTCTCCCTGTGCTTTATGCTTTAGTACAGGGGTAAGACTGTGTACATCTGGCCCACCCTTACCCCACTGTAGGTGGGAGCCTTTGCAGCACTGGGGTAATGATGATGATGATGATGTGTCAGTTCTTCCCATTCCCAAGTCCGAAATGACAGAAGAGATAATCTTTTCATTGAGATTAGATTCTTGTTCATTGCCTGTGATATATGTGTCATCCACATAAACCACAAAATATATAATTTTGAGTTGGTTGAATATCAAAACATCAAAAGAAGACACATTAATTAACTTCACTATAAATTACACTAAATTTACAGAACACACGACTACACCTGATAAACCAAGCTCTTAGAGATTGCTTTAAAGTATACAATGTGCGACATAGATTTCAAATCACTCCTGATATAGCTATTAAAATTTTACAGTTCTATACTTGACGTGATTTTTTTTTAAATCAACCTCATTTCAGTCATTTATCTTAAGAAGTGAGAATCGCTATAATTTCACCAAACTGACTTTGTGGAAGAGCCACTAGTGGGCAGCGTCTATGCTTATTCCATTTACCAATAACCACAGTATCTCATCCTTCTTTCTTTGATTTCTTTCACATGCTTAATATTTACTCTTTAATGTGATTTCCAATTTCCAAAATATAGAATTTATCTTAGCCCAAAGTGACCCAGGAAACAATTTTGATCCAAAACCACTTGATTTTCTAGTGAGGACCCGGATTCCCAAATTTTGTCTCCTTTTTCTCTCCAAAAACTATTCACAATTTTCTGAAGTTCACGTGATAAATCCGAAAAGGGTATGACAAATTTCTAAAAATTGGCATTTAAAGTGTGGCATGACGCTGGTAAAAAGAAATGAAGTAATCAACAACATATTTTTGCTCTTCGTTTTTCTTAATTGTTTTAAAAAGTAAACGACCGGTTAAAATAAAGCATCCGGTTTCCCATTTCCACCAGTGTTCTCACTTGGCACTCGGCAGCAGCTTTTGAGGTAAAATCAGATTCCCGATCATATGGGACTAGTCGGACCGTATGTGCTAGTAATTCACAGCGGACCCTCCAAGTCCATTTTGGTTCTAAAAACACTACTTAAAAAAATTGAGCCCATTGAAGCGTTCTTGTAAAGTTTATAGGGTTTCTAGTCAATGGAGGCAAAGGATGAAAACATATAACTAAAAGTCAATGATTGCCGAAGAAGGCAGATGCTCCCACGTATGTATAATATATGCCATTTTGTCAGAAAGACTAAAATCTATGCATGTCAGAGGAAGAGACTCTGATTCCATGTGAGAAGACTGAAAAGGAGAACTAAACGTATGTCAAAACTATAGAATATGTCCGAACACAATCAAAATAAGGGTTTAGCTACAAAAATTGGCCAAGTTTGATATTGTTAAAGTTGGTAATATACAAGAACAAAACCATTCTGCTTTGCCAGATGATTGAAGTACAATAGTACATCTGTGTTTTATTAGGACATACTCCGTAATATAATACGAAAAATCTATGCATGTCAGAGGAAGAGTTTATGAAGGGATCACTAGCCAACTCAAATTCTCTGGTCCTGATAAGTGATAACTCTGCTTACTTTATTACTTTACTCATTCAGGTACATTTTCAACAAACACAACCTAAAAAGATCTGAATACACAAACTACTCAAATGTGTCAACAGTACTGTACTTACTGCAGCAATGCCCGCCTTTTATGCTATGGAATATATTCATTAACCTCACAAATTGTTTATATATAAAGATAGGGGAGTAGAAATACCCAAGGCTTACCTGGGGAGCAGACTCTTCAGAATTTGAACTAAAATGATTTTTGTTCAGTAGAACTTCTCGAATCAACAAAACCTGGGCCAAGGAGTCATTCATGCTATGATCCTTCCACTGGGAGAAATCAGGAATCTTCAAAATTTCAGGACTATCGCAATGTTTTGCTGCACTGGTCACCCAATCAAGAATTTCCGAGAAATACGAAGGTGTCCTTTTTCTCTTCAATATATTCACTTCATTGAGTTTCTCAGTATGCTTTATGGATGTGGTAGCAACATCACCGTTGTCTTTAGCAGACCCTTTCATGCAACCAACAAATTCTTCTTGTGGACAATCTGCAACCGAATTGACAACTTTCTGAACACTCATATTGGGAGATGATGCAGTAGAGTGAGTAACACTTTCTCCATTAATATTTTTAATAAAGAGTCTATTCTTTTGAATATTATTTACAGCTAACCTCTCAGTTGATTCAGCATAATAATCACATACACTACCGATTTCAACATCAGTGAGTACCTCCCGTCCACCATTCTTCATGACTGAATTCTTTTGATTAATCTGAGCAGTTTTCTGATTAGAGTTATTACTGGACATGTTTCCAAACCTAACCTTCAACTCTCTAGACATTAGTTCAAGTCGCCTAACCAATCCACTTTCTACTTTCTCCAAAGCACTATCTCTGCATCGCTCTCCAATCCATTGATCAAAATCGTTCAAATACTTGCTGTAAATCAGCTTCACAAACGACATTTCCCTAAAATCCAACCCGCATTGCTCTGAAACATAACCCCACAAGTTTTCCTTAGAAACAGAATTATACCCACCAATTCTTCTAACTACACTGTACAGTTTGAACAAATCCACCTCATGCCCACAGCCATTCATTACGGGAAGAGGCCTAAAGCATCTGTTTTTAGATACATCATTAAGAAAGGATATTAGTATTTGATCAAACATGACCCTGAGCTTCTTCTTACAGCCATCAAAAACCCAATCTTCTACTCCTAGCATAGAAAAAAATTCAAATCCCCAATTTGAAGTATGGTTTATTTCAGCTTCATAAAGTGTAGATTCATCTTTTGAATTCGACCATGCTTCCATGAACCTCGAAAAACTTATGCTTGCTGTGTTTCGGCAAATTCAGACCGCCCATAAAATTTCAGATGTTTTTTCGTTTTCACTCCAAAATAAGGCAAGTGCGTCACCTCTTCCTCTTCGTCCTCAAACTAACAGCTATGGGCGCCACCGCGTTCTGTGCCGCCAGACGCGGTTGAAAACAAGGGAGACAAGTGAGAATTTTTATAATTAAAAGCTAATCCAAAAAATCAAAGCAAATAGGGTACGAAGTAGTAATAATTAAGTAGTTTTGACAGCTAATGTATGGAATTGACAGCAAATGCTGGGAAAAATCAGTACACTGTTCAACGGATGAATTTAGGGTTAGCCCGTTGTGTTTTGACAAAAACATGTGTGATTGTAGTAAATTACAAGAACAGGACTTTAGGAGTATAAAAGTTTAGGGAAAACTAGGTCGTGTAGTATGTCTAAAAAGTCAATTATGCCCTCATACTCTAAAATTTATCAATCAAACAGACCACATATAAAAAATTATCAATTGACACTTTTAGCTGGTTAACTCCCCTAAATAGGGGTGGACTCGAGCCCGGGCTCGACAGCCTTTTTTCTGCAATACTTTGGCATGGTACCGACTCGGGTATGCTTCAGAACTGGGACAGGGCTGAGCCCAAACAGTAACGGGTCAAGCCCGGGTCAGTACCATCCATTTTATTTTTATTTAAAAAAAATAGTGCAGTTGGGCCCAACCAACCCCAAAAAATCGAGTCCATAGCCCAACCTTTATAACTACCAGGGTCCAATTGGGCCCCGGGCCAAGCCTAAACAGTAATAGTCCGGGTTGGTTCAGGCCTAAACAATATCGGGTCGGGCTGTCCGGGCCCAGGTATCCTTACCCATAAAAAAAGTAACTTACGCTTAGTTGGACCTTTTTAAAGTACCTACTTCCATCGCAAAAAACTTTGTCATTTCCAAAAATTTGAACCTTAATTTTGATTAGTATAATATTATGTAAGTTATAAATTTTATACTTTTATGAAAGTACTTTTAACAATTTCATATAACTTTTATATTATAAATCATTTTCAATAAAAAGATATAGCCGGTCAAAGTTTTGAAAATGACAAAGTTTTTTGGGATGAAGGTAGTATTTAGTTTCTTATTTGGAATATACCTTGCCACTTCCTCTGTGATACATATACAGTTACATACATTCAATCCAAGAATCCAAAATATTTTTCTCGTCTGATTTGAAAAGATTTGGGAAACCTCTCTTGGCTCCTGCTTTTGGGAAATATTAATTGAAGAGATTTATAGATATCAATATTATGCACTTGTGAACATTTTAAACCTACATAGTGTTTTAAAAACACATGCTCACCTAAGCAGAGAAACGGTAAGAGCTAAAAAGAATAAAAGAAAAAAGAAGAGAGAATTCCCTAAATAGGAGTAAAAACGTTTTGAAATTGCAAAATAGGAGTATTATGTTTTTATTCCCTGAATAGGAGTAAATTTCTGCCAAGTTTGGCATTACAAGGCTTTAAACATGACATTTTTTCCCAAACTTGGCAGATTACTCCTATTCAGGGAATAAAAAAACATGATACTCCTATTTTGGAATTTCAAAACGTTTTTATTCTTATTTAGGGCAATTTCTGAAAGAAGAAATAAAATTGTGATTTTTCATTAATAAAATAAGTTCTATCGGTAATTATAGGAAGAGAGAACAAATATTACTCCTATTTGGAGCCCGTGGAAGGCGGAGGAATGAGAAAGTTTGAAAAAAATTTGATGTTAATTGGAGGGGAGTTGCAGCTTGTGGGGAAGTTATGTTGGCTGGCTGGAAGGAAGCCCAATGCTACAAGGCAATGATCCAAGGAAAATCTAAGAAGAATGAGCATTGGATGAGACCTGATCCGGATCAGATTAAGATTAATGTGGATACGGCGATTCAGAGTGATGGTGATAGAAGAGGGCTAAGTTTAAGACGATAGAGGGGACTTCATGGCTTGTAGATGTGTGCGAAAGAGGGGGGGTTCAAGCTAGGTACTACATAAGCCATGGCAATAGAGGCGGCGGTCAAGTGAGCAATTGATTCAGGTTGATAGAGAGTGATAGTGGAATCAGATGCTCAACAAGTTGTGAAAGGCATACCACGCTTGGAGGGACTACATTATAATGATGTCATTTATAAGGATATTAGACAAATGATGGCAGATTTTGTTGATATTATTGTCCATGAGATCACTTTTTGGTATCATGCATGTCCGAAGTCGGGATAAAGGAGGAGGGTGTTGTGGTAGGCGCGTGACGAATTGGAGGGTAGAAGAAAGCAGTGGGCCCAGATGACATACCAATCGAGGCTTAAAGATGTTTGGGAGACAAAGACATTGAGTGGCTAACACATTACTTCAACATGATTTGGAGAAACAACAAAATGCAGTGAGTTGGTGGAAGAGTACTCCCATTCCCATATTTAAAAATAAGGGTGATGTACAAGAATGTGCCAACTATCGAGGGATTAAGCTTACGAGTCACACCATGAAACTTTGCGAGCAGGTGGTTGAGCAAAGACTTCGGAATAGTGTGAAATTTTTGGAGAAGCACTTTGGTTTTATGCCTGGACGCTCAACAACTGAGGTCATTCACCTTCTTAGACAAGTTGCGGAGAAGTATAGAGATACTAAAAAGGATCTGCATTTGGTGTTAAATGACTTAGAAAAAGCATACAATAGGATACCTCAAGAAGTCCTTTGGTGGGCCTTAACAAGAAAAGGCATATCACGTAAGTATATCGGTATCATCATGGATATGTATGAAGCTTGTACTACAAATGTCCGTACTAGTCTAGAGAGGACCGCATAGTTCCTCACTACTATCGGAGTGCACCAAGGTTCAACTTTGAGTCTTTTCTTATTTGTTATAGTCATGAATGAACTTACGAAGTCAATTCAAGAAAATATACCGTTGTGCATGATGTTTGCCAAGGATATTGTATCGATTGATGAGACGCAATTCAGTGTTAAAGCAAACTTGGAAGTATGACGACAAAAACATGGAGACCAAGGGTTTGAGACTGAGCCAAAGCAAGACTGAGTATATGGAGTAAGTCTAGTGGAGGTAGAGGTAGTAGGAACAGTGAGATTACTCTTGATGGTAAGGAGATACTGGTGTGTGATATGTTTTGTTACTTGAGCTCCATAATTCAGAAGGATGGTGAATTAGATGGAGATGTAACCTATGGAATCAGAGCTGAGTGTATGAAGGAAGAGGGCATCAGGATTTTTATGCGATCGAGGTATGCCGACTAGACTGAAAGGTAAATTTTATCGAACATCAATTAGGCATGCGTTAATATATGGCGTAGAATGTTGGGCGGTGAAATAATGTCACATTCAAAAGATGAGTGTGGCAGACTGACAAAAATGTGTATGTTGCGTTGGATGTGTGGATTTACCAGAAAAGACTGCTTGATGAATGAGATAATCAGATAAAAGGTGGGAGTAACATCTATAAACGATAAGATGCAGAAATCATGTTTGCGGTGGTTTAGGCATGTGTGTAGAAGACCGAGTGATGCACCAATTAGACGACTTAAGGGGTGCGGAGAAGAGATAGAGAGAAGGAGGGGAAGACCCAAACAGATTTGGATTAGAGGAATCAGAACTGATATGCATCTTCTTGGATTGGATGATCGAGAGTATGACTTTGGAGAGAGCAAAGTTGAGAGTGCACATTCGTGTTGACGATTGATCTCTTTTCTATCCTTCCTCTCGTTTTCTTTTATCGTTTACCATTTATGTTCTTATGTTATTTTTATCTTCTATCTTTTTTATTCTCTTTTATTTTTTTTATCTTTTATCTTTCTTATATTCTTTCTTGTTATCTTATATTTATTTATCTTTATCGTATCCATTTTCTCTTACTTTTCTTCTTCATGTTTGTCTTCTCTTTTCGGCATCGATATCATGGATCAATTCATGTTTCCCGACCCCAAAATCTTTTGGGATTAAGGCTTGGATGTTATTGTTGTATTGTCGAGTTTGTGCACCGGTCGTAAACAAGGTTGCCCATGCACTTGCAGGGGAAGCCTGTTCAGAGGCTGATGGACGATGGTACTTGGTTGGGATATCCCTTATTGTATTGCTCATGTATTTTAGGTTGATGATTATTAATGAAGTTATTTTTTTACCAAAAAAACAATGTATAAAAATGGGAAAAAGGTGTATAGGTAGGTTTGTACAAGAAGCATTGCATTTTTGTTTTTCTTTAACAACGATGATCTCACTGCCATATTGTACACCACTTGTCTTATCATCGTGAAGTGCACCACTGGTTTAAGATCCTCAAATACCAATCCAGGATCCTTCAAGGCTTCAATAGTTAGCCGTCTATACAAGTTCTGCAAAGCACCCATTGGGCAACGAAACAAGGCCTTAACACAATAACACTAGGCTTGCGTAATTCCAATGCACTTGGACTTATATCAAAACAATAACATTGCATAATTTCATTACCAAAATGTTAACAAAACACAACAGTTGATCTCAAATTCTCTCTAAGACTGAAAATTGTCGAAATACGCCAAAGACATGCATGCAATTATGCAAAAGCATCTAAAAGAAAAACAAATACAGAAATAATAAAATACTTTGAGAAATGTCGGGAAAGTATGAAACATTAATAATATCATTACCTGATGTAAATAAAACATAGTGTACAATATAGTTTCTTCAAAATATCCACCGAATAAAAATAATTTCAGAATATCGATAGTTACATAAATACCAATATTTTTATCCTTGTCTACACCTACTAAAATGGTTCCATTGTTCAATTCATCACAATTGAATAGAGTCCACTAAAATATGAACCAAGTAGCATTAGAAATATTAAATACAATTCAAATATGATAAACCACCTAAAGGTATCCCAGGAAGTTGAAGAAATATGACCGAGTCAACGGCCTCTTGCATAGTCTTTTCTTCTAGGGGAGGTGGACCTGTCCCGGTGCCTTCTATATGAACCAGAGTCATCAGCCCTCTGATTACATGGTGACCGTGGCCTTCCACGCCGATCCCCATTGTATGAATCCCTCTCTTGCCGTCGGCGGGGTGAGTGACTTCGAGATCGTCTTCCATCAGAACCTGCACAAGTACAAACAAGTAAACAGCTATGGAAAACTATATGATTGCTATACGTGGAATGCTACATAATAGATATACCACTTTTGGCCCAACAGTAAGATCAGTCTTGCTTTTGGGCCCGTCTTTCATTTTTTGAACTCTTGCATAGCAACTTTTGGTCCTTCTAACCAGCTAAACTTCGTACATCATCCATTCCTTTATAGTTGCAACATTTGATTTTTCACTATTTACACATCCTACTTTGACCATTATTTTCTACTAATATACAATCAAATTATTATTTATAATACATTATTAAAATTTTTATTAATGTGAATTTCCAAAACATTAAATTTTTATAATGTTTAATAATAAATAATTAAATATAATTAGAGTCAAAGTTGTGTGTTGTCAAATGTGAAAGTCAAACCGTTGCAATTAAAAAAGAACGGATGTAGTATCTTTTGTATTAGGATTTTGCCATAAATGGTTAGAAAGGACTCATAATGACAAGAAATCCATTATCACACAGCAAAAATGGGAAAACAGAATGTCGGGAGTTAAATGTGAGAATGACCTCCGGTAATAGTTTAGGGCCAATTCCGGCCAAATGTGGAAACTTTTCATATACTTAAGCAAGCGTGCATGTTCAAGTAAATCACAGAACTATATAAACCAACCAGAGTAGGGCAAAGCGTGGGGAATAAAAGACGCATCTATCAAAGAGTATCTGAACTAAAAATTCAAAACATAAATGTTTAAAAACACATCTACTATTTTTATATATATTCTAAGCACATTCATACCTCGTTTATTAATCACACCTTGATATCTTCCTGGAGTTGGAGTGCGCCTCCGTTTTCTCTTAGCCTGTTCAGTGTTCACACAATCAAATTGCATGATGGTATCAAGATAAGTCATCTCCCCTTAGTACAAAAAAAGACCAAGATACATAAAAAATATTGTCTCCGTCTCATTGGACATTGCCAACTTTATGTTGGGTGTAGAATAAAAAAAGTAAGGGAAAACTGTCAAATAGGTCCTCAAACTTTCATAAAAAGTCAATTAAGTCCTTCTGTAGAAGACTCTGTACGGTCGTCGCGATTTAGGGAGGTTCCCGGTGGAATTTTTTTGATGAAATTTTTTGAGCATCTTATTCATCAAGTCTAGTTTACTCATACCAAATTTCAGATAAAAATTTAATCGGGAGCGCATTCAAATTAAATCGAGAACGCAAAAATGCGCAGTTATCTTCAAGAATTAATTTGAATGTGTTCCCTATTGAATTTTTAGCTGAAATTTGGTATGAGTAAACTAGACTTGGTGAATAAGATTCTCAAAAAATTTCATCAAAAAATTCCACCGGGAACTGCCCCAAATCGCGAAGGCCGGACAGAACCTCCTATAGAAGGACTTAATTGACCTTTTTATGAAAGTTCGAGGACCTATTTGACAGTTTTCCCAAAAAGTAAAAACTGTGTGACAAAGGTTCGTGCAAAATAGAGAAAAATAAGTTGAACCACAAATTCATTACTTTAAAAGGAAAGTGACAAAGTTTTTGGGACAAACAAACAAGGAAAGTTGGCGAAGTCTACTAGGACAGAGGGAGTAATATTTATTTAACTAGTCAGTCTCTCATCTGCAAAGCTAGACTCACAGCACTAGAATTTGTTGCAAAACTGAGGACATAATACCTTGCAGATATAAGGAATTCTGCTCTAGCTACAGGACTAAAGCTAAATGGTTATCTCCCTCATATCCATTTTCAATTTCCAACATAAGCATGAAAATATAATAACAAACAAAATGAAACGGAATAAATCAAATTCAAATGTTAATACTAGATCCATGCCATTATTTTCGCTTCATATTTGGAGTAAGATACAAACCTTCAAAGGTCATAGTATTAACAAAACCAAAAAATTGTAGCAAAATGAGTTGTGTTTGCAATGTCAATGACTGTAACTGATGAAGAGGTTAAGGGCATGTGTCCCTCTTGGGAAAAGCGGATTCATTTGATCAGTTCAAAATGTCGACGGAGCACGCAGGTTGCGAAAGAATAGGTTCAACGATTTAGGCATTCGAGCTTAGAGCTCATATTCGATGTAGTTACACAAACCAAACCTGCCGCCAAAACTTATCAGGCAACCATTCTAAAGATAAGAAGAAGCTAGAACTAATATTTATCCAGTTGCTGACAAATAACTCAAACACAGCCATGGAGCAAAACATCACTGTTGAAGATCTGATATACAAAGCATACCTTCTCTACAGTAACAAGCCGACCTTCAAGCACAGAGCGGTTAAGATGTTTAACACAGCGATCTGCATCTTCAATTGTTTCCATTGTGACAAACCCAAAACCACGAGACTCTTTGGTTCGAGGATCAGTGACAAGATTGCACTCAATAACCTGCAATTGTATAGTTGGTTCAATATTGTTTCTTTTTTTGGATGGGAGAAATCTTGCCTTGCTTCACAAGTAACCTCAATTTAGACCAAATGCAAATGTCATACGTAGTATAAGAAAACTTTGTGATTCCATGTGGGGTTCGACTTCTAGTTCACGAAAAAAGAGTATGCCCTACCTGGTTACCCAGGACTCTAGAAAATATCATGTAGGCCTAACACTTTTTGACGGGTCAAAACAGAAATATTGTGTTAGTGTGTGAAGTTCAAACAAAATCATAGCCACCATAATGCAAGACAGATTCAGCTTTGACATGGTTTTTAAGAAAATAGAGAAAGATCTTGTTCTTTTGCAATTTTGACATTTTAAAATGAAGAATAGTAAAGTGGGAATCAAAAGTTAAAAAGGTAAAATGTTAGATAGAATTTTAAATTGCAAAGCAAAAAGTTATTAGAGTTTGAATTAGGAAAGTAAACATAACTCTGGGACAAAGAAAAAATCGAAGTGTATCTAACAATATCAGACAGAGTGAGTACTGTATTTCACAATTTTCTCATCTGACTAAAAGTATAAGCTAAGTTGCACTATGATTGTTGAGGTTCCTAACCAAGACAGCCCAGTAAGAGAGAAACCATTAAATTTTTTAACCTTTCGTTTGATTTCATCTATTGCAAGTCTGCAACTCATAAAGGTGAAGTTATCTTATTTTCTTTTTTCCTTAAGAAAAAAGGAAACTAATCTATTGTTCTTCAAATATTAAAGAAGCATACCTTCCCTTCACTGCTAAAGAACTTCTCTAGATCACTAGTTGTAACCCTTGTTGATAGGCCAGTCACATAAAGGTTATTTCCAGGGTTGCCAGGTTCTTCATTATCACAGCTCCTGGAGTATTAAAGCTTATGTTTCATTTTGAATTCTAAGGAAAGGAACATAGTTCCATATCAAATGACACACATGATTATAGGTCCTTAATGCGCTCATAGACATACTGTCAGTTATGAAACGTGATTTTTTAACCGATTACAATCTTTTGATTCATTAATTTGATTCTTAAAATGGCTAAATCTTCTTTCTTTTAAATGGCTAAGTTTTCTTTAATTTAATTGTTTTCTCTAATGAGCTTTTATTAAATGACTACAAATTTTTCTAATTGGATTTTTTTAGCTACTAAAAGCTAACAACAATCAAAAAGTTCGAAAAGCAGCTTTTCAGCGTGCCGTGAAAAATTGAAAAACCTACACTAGTCTATCAGCTATAGCTTGAAAGTGCTCAAGTACATGTGACTATCAGGAGTTTCATAATAATGTAAATCTAATAGCTCCAAATTTACAATTTAGGCCAATCTCCATTCAGTACACCTCTCTATCTTCTTATAGCTCCAAATTGATAATTTAGGCCAATCTCCATTCAGTACACCTCTCTATCTTCTTATAGCTCCAATCGCTTCTAATACTACGTCCATACCTCATTTGGAAACTAGCCTAAGATGTATACTTTATTGTTTGTACCTCAAATATTCTGTGCAAAATAAAGAGTAGAGACTTGTAAACAACATATTCATGGAGTGGATCCATAAAAACTTTTACTTTTTTCCATGTATGCTGTTAATAGTTTTTGCCCAAATATTATTTTGGTCGTTTATTAAAAAGGCCCAATACCCCTTACCCCACCGTAGGTGGGAGCCTTTGCGGCACTGGGGTGATGATGATGATGATTAAAAAGGCTCAATACCCACCCAACCCTTTGTCACTATCTTCTGTATTAACTCATCACCACCTTATCTCATTAATTTGCTACCCCAACTTAAGGGCAATATTTAGTGGGTGGTAAGGCAGATACATGTGAGCGTTACATCCTAGATTCTATGCATCCCTATCACTCTATCAGTCTATCACCCTATATATATAAGTCATTTGCTTCCATATCTTGGGTGGTGTGAATCCAGAGAGTGTATACAGTGATAGCTTCAGTAACTCCCCTCTTCCTTCTTTCTTGCTTTGTGCAACTGCCTTCATTCATGGTGAGTGATAAGAGAGAGATAGAGAGGGTTTGTACAAAGGGTTGGCTGGCTTCCTTTGTTGTTCAAGATAGTGATTGTAGGATATAAGGACCGCTATTTTGAGGCTAAACTGGACCGAAATCAAACACCTAAACAGATGCCTCATATATGCCACCTCAAGATTTCCTTCATTTGCACCGGCTGATTGGCTCAAACATACACACAGAAATACACTAAACATTTCCAAAGTTATTAGCAAATACCTCGAACGGCTCCTTCTGGAAGCAGACAATGATCTCGATCTCGACCTAAGACCCCTGACTGGGGATTCCGACTTGGGCGGTGAAGCAGGCCTGCAATTCATACGCAATCGTGTAAACTCGTAATGACATTATATGAAGGGGAAAGGACGAGAACAAAACTATTAGAAACATTATGAAACACACACCTCACGACTCTGGTATACGTCATCGCCTCTAAGGTGAGGATTATAAGAGCTCACTCGTCAGAAAACACGAAAACAATTTAAATTTTTAGCAACAAAAAAATGAAGAATTGGAATGCAATCTAATTGTCTGTAATGAAAAACATGCGCTCAAGATCATCAGATTAAAGAGCGAATGGTTGAAGCACAGATGAATACAGAAGAGTATGAAGGAAGGAAAAAAGGTGTGAAACCTGAACTTGATGATGGAGACGAAGAAGTTAATGCTCCAAGTAACTATCTCCAACGGGCATAGCCTTTGAAGTGATTCGGGTTCATTTATGCAGCAGAAGTTCGATAATATGGATATCTCGCGACCCAGTTCCGTTCGGATTTGAAAAGATATAGTAGCATTTCATTTCTTAGGTCGTTCCTGTTGTAACAAAGTGTTTCGTATTAATATAAGGTGTCCATGTTAATACCAGTATAAATTGTCCAAGTGATATCATGAGGAAATTATTCAACTAAAATATAGTCATCTTTCTAAAATAAGATACTCCCTCCGTCCCAAAATTATCTTCATAGTTACTATTCACATGGTCAACTCAAATTACTCTTAATCTTTTACTTTATATATCAAATTTTTATCAAACTTAAATTTTCTTGATCAGGCTTTGTAGCGGTTTTAATGTAGTTTCTGAATATGTAAATTTTATTTACTAAAAATAATCCGAGTGTGAACAGGGATCGAGTTGCTTTATCGTCAGTCAAGCATCGTAAACCGAACTATGAAGATAAATATGGGACGGAGGTAGTAACATTTTTTTACTTTTCTTAAATATGATTAAATATTGCATTTCTATCTCTAATTCAATTAATTAATATGTAGTATAATTAATTGTTCATAGTTCTATCTCTACAAAATTATAAGCAAGAATCATGGTAAGGATATTTTGGGTAGTAAAAATTTGTTGGTGGTACATCACAGCTTAGAACACATATACCGGGTGCTTCAATCATTGTACTCTCTTATTCGTATCCCTGTCAACAAACGACTGCCGTTCGTTAATTCTCATCCGCTCCTTCATCTGAAAGGTCTTCCGTTCCTCATCTTCAACCCATTTCACCATATCATTTAGGTCAAAAGTGAGATTTGAACCCACTTCTTCTCCGGCGAAAAGATATCTACAAACTCTCCTCGGCTCTCATGTTCCCCGCATCTTCTCCCCCCCAACGTAAATTTTTTTTTGGTATTAATTAATACTACGTATAGTCCTTCTCAGAGTGATAGGTATAGGGGTCTCGCGAATCGGGCGACTCACAAGGAGTCTGTCAACAACACCGGCGATTTAACTGAGACCACACCGGCTGGAGCAGGGACTTCAATACCGTCACCACAGCTCTAGGTGGGAGTGAACAACAACGCTCAGATGGGACCAGAGGCATCCAAGTTCAAAATTAAATCTACCGTGGCGATGGTGTTACGGTTGGGACTGAAACAGGTGGACAACCCTTCGAACGAGAACTAGATGGGACCTCATCTAATACACCTATCCTGAGATGGCAACATGACTCCAACAGATACATGCAAGTCTGGGAACGATGACCTGCAGTTCACCGATCGAGGAACGACGGCTGCTGGCGAAACGCAGCTGCAAACCATCGTTTCTGGCGACCAGCAGGGGAACGACTCTGGATTACCTCCTCTACTCAAACACGATGCAAGGCAGATTGTGGGCTGTGGAGAAACGAGGCTCAAGACCAGAGACTCAACTGGAACATTGGAGATGATAGAGGACTTTGGTAGTCGTCCAAAGCTACTGGCATGAGCAGTGGAAGGTGGTCAGGGTTGTCCATTGTTGCTGGGAGGAACAAAGATGTAGGTAAATCGGAGGGAGATTTCACCAAACTGCAGAAATGGTCTAATTTGCAGAAAGATTTTTTCTATTCTGCTCAGGGAACTAGGGTGCAAGGAACAAGTAAGAGTAGAATTGTTAAAATCGAAAGTAAAGCCTTTTGTTTTGAATTCATACCCACTGGTCTGCATATTATTCAAAACAAAAACAATCACAGTCTATCTATTTCTCTTGATGTTAATGGTGTTAATTGGCTTTGCTCTTCATTTGATAAAATCCAATCTGGACGGTCTCATACGAAACAAAGATACGAGGAGTCTTGAAAACTCCAACTTTCCTTGGAAGATATCAGTATGGGGGTTTTATCCGCTTGGTTGATTCGGGACCAATGGGAAGAACAACAACCATTATTCCAGAAGGTTGGAACGGTTCAGGTTTTAGACGCTTTTACCTTGCTTTATTAGACCAGCATATCTTGATGAATGATTTCACGAAAGAAGATCATGATTTGGATTTGGAGGAACTCGGTCCTTTTGTTGTGTGTGTTAATTACATGGTGTCTTTTCTGGTGCCCTTTGAATCTATTTCTTCACTACTTTTCAATATGGACTTACATAATTTTGGTTACTTATCTAATACAGATATTAGATTCATCTCTTTATTGACTGTGGCTGATCCGGGGAACTTTTTGATGGAAACGATTGAGAAACAATGTAACCATGAGGTTGGTTTTCAGGATTTTTCACAAGGATGCATTACCGTTGGAACCGAGGTTATGGATATATATATATTCACATGGTATTGTTGATTCATCGCCTATTCAAGTATCCTTGCCAAGTACACTACCCGTAGTTGAGGGAGGGTTATTTTCTTCGGCCTCTGTCGAGTTAGGTGAAGATCTTGAAGCTACTCCTGTTTGACGGTTGCTTATCGATAGAGACCTACTTGACAGATTATCCAATTTTGATGGGAGACTTTCCAACTATGCGCTTATACCTAGGAGGAGTGCATGTCTTAAAGCAAAAAAAGTAGTTGTGAGATTAGGTTTGTCTTAATTATCTTTGAGTTCGTTAGAAGATTGTATTGGGCGATTAGGATTGCTTTTCTCTTCGGGTTGCAGTGATTTGGGATTTGGAGCGTAGGCTTGCTTTTCTTCCCACTTGGACTTCATTGCTCAATTTCAATTCCCTCACCAATGTCAGCTTTGTTTAGTCTCATTTGTTTTTTCCTTAAGTAGTGCTTGTACTCTCTTTCATGTTTACTTAATAAAACATACTCTGTATTTAATTTTGTTTTTAAAAAAAAAGAAAAAAAAATATTATATTCAACTAAAAAACCGGTTGTACCTCAGTTCTCTTATTCTCTCCACCTCATGTGCAGGGTAGGTTACGGCAATCGAAGAGGCCCTCTCACCTCCAATCGCCACGTTGTTCAGTTATGAATATGTTTTCGGCTTTTGGTAGATGTCCTCTTCTGCTGCTCAACACTTTTCTTCTGGTAAACCTTGGGCCCAAAACGCCATTATCATTTGTTTTTCGCTTTCTCTGTTCACCTTTGTTTGAAAAGCATTGGGCTGAATACTACCTGGGAAACAATAGTCCATACTTATATAAAGTTTTGATGCCTACAGTAATAGAAAAATTGAGAATCTCACTTTTACATTGTAATCCATGTGATCCCTTTTCTTTGATTTGTTATTAGTAATCCATGGTATAGAATATGTATGTATGTGAGAATACAATTAGAGCTCATTAACAACGGGATGTTTGATTTATCAGGAGTTTCAAATTTGCATCTCTCTTCATCTACATAGCCGCTTCAACTTTGCAGTCACTGTCCATTCTTCTCTTTGCACACTCCTCAGGAGACAAAAGTCATGTGCTACATACATGGAGCACAAAACAATGGTCTCGTATATGAATCCTTTAGAGTTAAAACATAGCATTGGATCAATTTAGCACTTCATTTAAGAATGCTCATTCTTAGAATGTATTTATCCGTCTCTTAACACTTCTGGTCTACTTGCCGTTAGTTGGCTGGAAGTAGCTAATCAAAGTGAGAATGAAAGCTGCAGGAGAAGGATGGAACAGATTGCCATCACCTTCGTTTCCATTTCATGGGAGCTGCAGCTTCCCTTTTACTATCATTAAACTACGATCGATTATGATCAGAAAAAAATAACCTTGTTTTAAGAAGTTGTTGTACTGGCTTAGGGCTACTGACTTTCCCACTTACTGTTATTCGGCCTGGCTGCACGGAGCTGCTAATTTTCTTCCCTACGTGAGCACATATAGTTCGCCAAGGTGAATAGGTTGGATGGACGGCGATGAACTTGAAGCTTGACACTATGGTGATGGCATTCTTCACACGCTCCCACCTCTTCTGGCAACCTCTGCTCTTTCTCTTATCTTTCTTGTTTCAGCTCTCTGACGGTGAGTTCAAATACTAACAGATGACAAACGGATGGGGTGCAAAATTTAAAGTTTTTCAAAATGGGGTCTAAGCTCCAATTCAACTCACAAAAGAGGGTGCAAAGTAAAATTGTCCCATTATTAATAATATCTCTTGCACTGTAGAAGTGCAGATATATCTCCATAATTGTATACAAGGTGTGTTATATCTGATTATGGTTATTTATATGATGTTGTATGAGCTCTTATCATTTACTTTATATCACAATATATTAGCGTACGTGCCTTGTCCATCTCTTTGACAAAAATAAACTTTAGATTTCCCAGCTTTAAGGCAAGAGCACACTTGTATAGTTGTATAGCTTATTCAATGCCTTCTGTTGAGAAGCCAGTGTATCTCATTCTATTGCACTTGCTATTACTTAACAAACAATGAGTAGGTTCTATTATTATGTTGCCTGTATAGTGAAAATCGTAGTAAAATTGGCTCAAGGGTGAATGAGTATATTAAGAGTAGAAATGAGACCACTATGGTGCTATGAATGTTTTTCATTTTTTCCTAAAAGATTCACACAGTACATACATAGGAAATCGATACTATATACTACTTTTTATAAGGTAAAACATATCGGGCATTTATCCTATCGCACATTAGAAATTGGTACTAGCTATATATTCCGTACTTTTAAGAAAGTAATTCATATTGGGCATTTATCCTACCGCGCAACGCGCGTAAGAAAATGATTATTGCGAGTGTGAGAATTACACATTGTGCCCAATGTGTTTTTATAATAGTGGTAATGGCGAATGTGTAAGAAGGGGTGATTGGGATATATGCTAGGAGAAAATGATCATGTTTGTGTGGTAGTGTGTGTACAACATGTATTCCCTTTTGAAATAACATTGAAATAGAACTCCCAAATAGAGTAATGAAAATTTCATGATTGCATTATTAGTGTGCAATTTATTAAAATGAGAAGAAATAGCCATAATATTGTATCATGGAAACAAGCTTAGTAGGGTATCATGGGAAAATATGTTTATGGTTGCAGGAGAGATAACATTCAAAAATCAAAATGGAACATAGTACTGCAAAAATGAAAGTATTTGAATGTAATAACACAATTTGGTGAGTCGTGGAATGGTTTGGATGGTTGTGTATTTTCCGTCACACTGTTTTGATGTGTTTCATTGGAGGACTTGAAGTGTTTGTGCTTTCACTGGGTGCAGTGTGATCGGCAACATTTGCTTCATCCATCTTTATTATATGCAACGAAGACTCGTGCAAAGATGTTATGATATAAGATGTCTTTGAAGTACGAGGATAGTTGTTTTTTGAACTCCAATTGTCTGGTGAAGACCTCAACTGGACTATGTACTCTTCCTTAGCAAGGCGCTTGTTTATGTATGGGAATGAAGCTTTTTTCCCCTACCAAGTACAAAAGAATTTCAATGAGTGGTTTCATATAGAATTTAAACCTAGTAGAAAATTAGACTTTGACAAATGATATTATTCATATTTCTACAGGACCCAAATTCCATAAGAGATTATGCTTCATTTGATGATTTTGTAAAAAAATCTATGGCATAGAGTTGGCGAATAATCTTTTGGGTGACATTTTTAATTAATTTTACAATGTAGTTAATGTTTTTGGCAATAGGAAACAAATGCAAAAAACAAATTCAAAAAACAAGTATATTTGGTTTCATTAAATGATAATTTAATTGGGTGGTATTGTGGATGATGTTACCTGTGATTCTATTTCCATGACTTGCTTGCTTGTCATAAGCAATAACTTTTCAGCGCACAAGCCAAACATTATTCCACTGACAGATCCTGTGTCATCTTCGATTGTGACATGTAATTTGGCCCTGCGCGAAGGTTGTAATATGATTTTTTGAGGAAAATGACGTATACTTATGTTGTATGGTGTAATACAAGTGGCGTACTTGCCTTGGAACGCCATAAGCATTTTCTTGACCGCAACTCATGCAGTGAAATATTGCATCACAACCAGCGTATTTTATTTTGGCACAATGGCTACAAGCAACATACCAGAGGCTATAGTTTTCTAAAACCAAAGTGATTGTGCCTTTGATCCAAATAGGCCTTCCCTGTCATTGTTTATGGATTACACAAATTACAATGGATAAGTCACATTAATGTAATGGATTTGAAGTAATTTATAGCATGGGTTACATAAATTTTTGGGTGATTTATTGCATACGTCGTCAATGTTTTTTACGTTGTCAATGGGTATTAGGAAAAACATGTCATATAGGCATTGGGAGGAATAAAGTATATAATAACAACATACCTGAGGAATGATAGCAGGGACTTTAGCTATTGGGGTGATTGTTTCGTTGTCAGGATTTGCTAGGTGGAAGCCAGCATCCAAGAACTTGCGGCCAGCCTTCACAGCATCGAGGGTGGAGTTGTGGTCAATAGCCCTACACGTAGGTTGATCGTAATCAGTCACATGTTATAAGCATATATGTAGATACAACATATTCCCGTAACGTTAAAAGGGGAAAGAATGGTGTGCATATTCACGCTCAACAATTTAAGGTATTGGAAGAAGAGAGTTAATTGTTTCCTATTCAACTCTTTACCATAGATGCTTCGTACTTTAGGATTTAGCCGATTATATGGCATTCCATATATTTCATTTTCATCTATTACAAAGATCTCTGTTTTATCCCGCGGTTGGGCTCTAAATCTGCAAGTTGTTTATATTTTGCAACCCTTTCTACTCTTTCATCTATCCGCTACTTTTCCGTTTGTTGTATATTTTGTTCTTCTCACTTTTCTATGTAATCCTTTCTACTCTTTCATTGATGAAACTTTTTTTTTTAAACAAAAGGTGGTCTTTAAAAAAAATCAACATTCACTTTAGCAGTTATAGTTTCGGCATCATTTTGCGTAAGTTTGATCCTTTTTAACTCTTAATATATTCCAGGAGGAACCATATCACTTTCTGAACTGTCTAGCTGTAAATCACCCAATTAAATGAATATAATGGGTTTTTTGCTTCCAAAAAAAAATCAATCTACACTATAAATGAAATTTTGGTGACAATTCAAGAGCAAATTTTGAGAAACTCAGATTTTATTAACTTCATATTTTTAACATTTTCACATGAAAGTAACATTATTTACACAAGATTACTATTAAAGTATGATAAGGTTGCACAAGAAAATGCCCAACGCGCGTTCATACTTATTATCCAAGTGTAATTTGTTTTTTTTTCTACAAAAAGTTAAAACGACGTAAAAATGAGGCATTATAATTAAAAGGATGCATGCCACATGTAGGCTAAAAATAGGCTACAAAATATACAATGAGGTTGACACATGAACATATCGCATTGTTGGATGCTAAGTCAAGAGAGAATGTAATTCCGTATGAGAATAAGCTATGGTATAGTTACTCACTTTAACCACTCAATTTAATAAATAAAATTAGACTACAAAAAATCAATCTCAATTTTCTAATGACCTGCCTTCCTCTTTGTCTCCATGTCAATTTTGCTTCTAGTCACTACAATAAATTATAAGGCCTCTATTATGCTTAGTTACACACCTGTTAATACTTGAAACGTGGAATATAGCGCCTTTTAAAAAGACAAATGACTTAATATTTAGCGCTTTTAATACTTAAAAGACCTTTTAAATTTGTAGATATAAATACTATACGTGTAAATCATTTACGTGTGTTTTATCTAGGCCTTATTTTTAGCTAAACTTTAGCTAGTAGCTTAACGATTTACGAATTACGATCCAAATAATTTCCTTACTCTAAATTTGAGAACTACATTAACAACATTTTAATGATTTGTGTGTCACTGCCTCTTATCTCATTGTTAGTGGGATGATAGAATATTACTTTAACTTTGAATTCTTATTTTCATGAAATCTCAAAAAACATATTGAGATACATATTAAGCACTTAATGAATTCTTTGAATATTAAGCACTTATTAGGAAAGTGGTCTGTTTAATAAAAACAAAATACAATAGTTACAATTTGAAAAGGAATAAAAGTAGACTAACTGGAATAAAATAAAACAGCAAAACACAGGAAAGAAAAGAACACGATGGAAATCAAGCTGCAGTTCATTTGTTGCAATTATTTAGAAGATCGATAGATAGAAAACAGAATGGAATAATAGGGAAAAAGAAAAATACGTAGTAAACAAGAATAGTGCAGCCATGGAAGAAAATAAGGTAGACATTACCATTTCTCCAATTCTGCAGCACGAGGCAAATCGGAATTCAGAGTGATTGTTGAATGAGACATTGAAGTCAAAGATATCCCTATGTATTAAGAGCAAAATTAGTACTTGGTGCGAATATGTAATATACGTTATAGGGTTGTAATAGTACCTTTGAAGTCGGTAGCCTTAATGTCTTCTAGGCTCACTATAGGATACTTTTTTTGAGTTAGTTCCTCAAAGATTTCAACTCCCTTTGTTAGCGCCAACTCATCCCAAAGTGTGAATTGCACTGGTTTCAGTCTGTTGGAATTGTGATGGATTTGTATGAGTGATGTTGCAAATAACTTCAACAATATAAACAGATTAATCATAGGTCCTACTTACAGTTCATCAACCACAATGAAATCCTTGATAGACCGGACACCATTTGAAGTCGACTGGGTTTCTCTTGGAAGTTTATCAATTACAACAACAACCATTGCTACAATATTAACAATGGTATAAATAGACTTCAGTATACAATTTTTTAATAATACGTAAAGCAAGGAATTTTAACCGTGTATGTTGTAATATATATATATTTCAGCTTGTTTAACGTGGGTGCGTGATATTTGTGTATACATGCAATGTTGCTTACATATGTCCCGCCCAGTCTTCATGTGCTGATATAGGTCACTGAATCTGGAGACCCTTTTAGTCTCAAAAACTTCAGTTTCATTTGCATTTTCACATGGTTGAATAGCTGTTCTACGATTGAGAACCCATGTGAACCCATTGTTGGGGAATTATTCTCTCATCACAAGGACTCGCCGTCGTCTTCCATAAAACTGCTTCTTCTAGCTTCCTCTCCGGCAACTTTCAATGGCAAGTCAGATCCCGGTTAACGCCATCTTCTGCTCTCCTCCAAAAGCTAGTTTATTACTTGTCGTTTTCACAGGGCCGAACCTGCAAATAAAATAACAAGAAACACAATGGCTCGAGACGCGTAAACGCTGTCCTCAAGAAAGTATTTCCGGTGGCCGGAAATCTTTCCCCAGGATATAACGAGCCCTTCGGTTATAAAACCGGTACCAGAACTAACGAGAAGAAAATAGTATATATGAACCCAATAATCATTTGAACAAAATATATATTGTTTGTGGTTTATCTTTTATATGTAATATAACAGTAGGACATCGGCCGAGCCACCAAGTACCAAATCACCAAACACGCTGGACTACACTCATGTATAGTACGTAGGGATTAGAGAATACTTTTGTGTCAAGAAGCTTAAACTCCACCGCCCATGTGTGTAATGCATGTATGCATATATATACATTCAAGTCAATAACCAAAAAACCCCATACATGCATTGCTCTCATCATGGAAGATAAATAAATATCACTTTAGATGCATGCATGATTTGAATTGGAAAAAGAATTCATTATAATTTAATATACTAAATAAGTAACGTATATATTAGGAGTAAGAGGAAATGAATAGAAATTATGGGTTGTATGAATACACAATTACTTAAAAAACGGATGGGAGTTGTAATGACCCAATCATCTGAATGAATTAAAGTGTGTTCATGGTTGAAATAGACATTTAATTTAAAGATAAATTTTTATTCATTTGAAATATTACTAAAATTTCCAACAATCCCCCACATATTTCAAATGAATAATTTTAAGTATTTAAAAATAGCAATTCCTTATTGGGTTCATATATGAGGTGATGTTTTTCAATCTGGTGTCCGTAGACTTGAACCAGACCTAGATGCCTAAGTCTTTAAATACCGAGTTTATTGGTGAAACGTATAGTTTCTATGAACCAATAATCTACTATGGTAAGTTAGTGTCTTAGGGGATCATTTTTCACCCCCACCTTCCTTGTCGTTAACGCCGTGGTGCGCCTTTCGGCCGTGCGCGTGCCTGGTTTTCTTGAGTGCTCTAGAAGCGTTGTCAATGCTTCATGGAGGCGGCCCCACCTCTCACTCATATAGGTGACCTCATCAAGTGTGTCCCACACTTAACACACCACCCGTAAGGGCTATGACAATCATTAAGAGCTTTAGCTCAACCTCACAAAGAAATGCAGTCTATCTAGCCTTCCGCACCATAGAAATGGACATTTTACAAGGCTAACAGAACAAATAGAAGACTTGTTATTACCCATTTGAACTTGCTTCATGGGATCTCCAATCACACAAGTTGGGTTCCCATCCCTATTTGTTGTCAAAGTGACATTAGTCCATTTCCCTCGATGTTTAAATTAATCATTTAACGTCCTAGGGATTCTATCAAAGGAGTAGCTAATTCCTTGACTTCACAAAATTAATGAAATAATTTCATTCTTCAAAGTCATTTTGACAAATTATATTTCTCAAACATCATTACACCACTTTTTCAGGGTGAATGGATATCCACTTTTTTATATTATCTCATGTGAGTCGACTCAGATGTCGTCATTGTATCTCGGCAATACAACGGATAGCTCTTAATAAGAAATTTCATCGATGTGACCCTCTGGCACATCAGATAATTTTCAATATATACTACCAATGTATCATTACAGTACAATGGATAATTCTCATATAACATCATTGTACCGCTCTAGTACAATGAATATTTCTCAATAAATCATGTCATCGTTGTATCAAAATATTACAACGGATAATCTCAATCAAATATATCACAATTATATGGTACCTGTCAAGTACCTCAATATCTTTTTTAAGGTATCCCAACTATCCATTTGGGTGGCATGTACACATCTTTGTGTTTTTTTTTTTTAATTTTTTATTAAAGTCATAAGGGATATTCACATTATTAACAGAATGCCAAGTTTGTTTTAATAGTATCTCAATATAATGATAGTAAAAGACCACCATTCTTCCTCATGACTTTAATACTCAAAATTACATTTATTGACTTCATATATCAACTCAATATAGCTACTCAAATAAGCATATAAAAATTCTAGCAACACATGCATAAACCCATAATCACACATGCATCATTTAGTGTGTACACATTTTGTCTTCTTCAAAATTTATCACATTAATCTCTAAATAATATAGCTTAAAGCATCGCACACAAGCGCATTATTTCTTCGATATAATAAAACCATGTGCTCGATGTACTATTTTTACATATGAATAAGTAGCCAAAAAATTATATAAGCCGTTTATTAACTCAAGGTAGCTAATAAACATAACAGCACAATTAACATCATAAAAACAATGATCCACGTCAAAATCAATTTTTACTAAATACACGTTTCAAATACTATAACTTTCCCCTTCACAAGACTTTTTCTTGTCTATCAAGAAATTTATTCTCTCTTTATAGAAAGTAATAAAACTTTTGCTAAGCACCCCCACATTTAAAAATATTTTATAATTGGTGAAAACTTTCAAGTAATAAAACACAAATATTACTTTCAAGTATTCCAAACGCATGCAAGTAAAATTTTAGTTGCGCTGAGAGCCCCCACAATTTTAAATATTTAAAAATAGGTGCATAGTCCTTCTAAAATTCACAGACAAATAATTTCATTCTCATTTTAAGAAAAGTCCATCAGATCACAACCTTTATTTGCATTTAATATACGCTCGATATTTAAACAACCACACAAAGCTTTGTAACTATACTCGGAAATTACAAGATAAAGCCATTCAAATCACTTAGTAGCAAATACAGGAAATTACATGCATGCGAAATAGCCTCAAAATTTCAGAACACTAGAATAGTACAATTTATTAATTAGTGCTCAACAAACTCTAGAACTGAAATATACGTAGTACGTACCAACATACGAAAAAGCTTTTAAAAACGTCTAAGTACAATTTAACACGTAATAGTTATCATCGTTCACAACTACTAAACCCAATCACGAGAGTACCAAACTATTTTACCAAAATTAAAAATCTAAAGTACATTTTAAGAAAAAAAACATTTCAATTTATGTCATATATTATATGAAATTACGAATCAATCAAAGCATTATCATGCAATAATTTAGAAATATCAAGCACATAACAAAGTTACCATATTCATAATGAATTTACCCAAGCTTTACTCATGAGATAAGCTAAACAGCTAAATATAAATCAAAGTTCGGACTCTTTAAATAGGTTATTAAAATAGGTTATTAAAAGATAATCATTTTCCTTGATATGAGTTTAAAGGAAACCTCTATTTCGCCATTCCCTATTAGACAATAGGAGGAAAATACTTTTGTATTCACAATTGAATTTGGTAGCCTCAAAATTTATCACATATTAATTCACATCAGTCAAAGCAAATTTTGAAAACCAACTGTAGCAATTATCATCACCGCCAACAAAGTTAAAACTTTATTTTGGTGGATTGTTCTCCATAATTTCAATTACCCCACAAATAGTGACATTTTAAATGAAAGCTAATCGTAATTAGGCTTGTTAAAAACATACCACAATATGACCATCAACTGGATTGAACTTTGGCCATGGTGACGACGGTTGAGTATCCTTTGGCCGTAAATACTTTCTTGAGATTGTTGGGGAATTATTCTCTCATCACAAGGACTCGCCGTCGTCTTCCATAAAACTGCTTCTTCTAGCTTCCTCTCCGGCAACTTTCAATGGCAAGTCAGATCCCGGTTAACGCCATCTTCTGCTCTCCTCCAAAAGCTAGTTTATTACTTGTCGTTTTCACAGGGCCGAACCTGCAAATAAAATAACAAGAAACACAATGGCTCGAGACGCGTAAACGCTGTCCTCAAGAAAGTATTTCCGGTGGCCGGAAATCTTTCCCCAGGATATAACGAGCCCTTCGGTTATAAAACCGGTACCAGAACTAACGAGAAGAAAATAGTATATATGAACCCAATAATCATTTGAACAAAATATATATTGTTTGTGGTTTATCTTTTATATGTAATATAACAGTAGGACATCGGCCGAGCCACCAAGTACCAAATCACCAAACACGCTGGACTACACTCATGTATAGTACGTAGGGATTAGAGAATACTTTTGTGTCAAGAAGCTTAAACTCCACCGCCCATGTGTGTAATGCATGTATGCATATATATACATTCAAGTCAATAACCAAAAAACCCCATACATGCGTTGCTCTCATCATGGAAGATAAATAAATATCACTTTAGATGCATGCATGATTTGAATTGGAAAAAGAATTCATTATAATTTAATATACTAAATAAGTAACGTATATATTAGGAGTAAGAGGAAATGAATAGAAATTATGGGTTGTATGAATACACAATTACTTAAAAAACGGATGGGAGTTGTAATGACCCAATCATCTGAATGAATTAAAGTGTGTTCATGGTTGAAATAGACATTTAATTTAAAGATAAATTTTTATTCATTTGAAATATTACTAAAATTTCCAACACCCATACCTCATATCTGGCACTTTGTAGGAGTTCTGTGGTACGCGAACATGAGCGTTCGAGATGTGATAAGACGAATTGAGCTTCATAGTCATATCATACATCTCTACGTCATGGTCAAATACCATGGCTGAGATGCGTATGCCCTGTAAACATTTTAAGCATTAGAAATCGCAAAAACATAACATGGACATTTCATAATGGCCTTTTTTAACAATTGATATGAAAAACACTACTTTAAAAGCACATGCAGAAACAATGGTAGTGATTATTTAGTGATCAACCATAAATTCATGGACATTTCATATGATCTTTCTTTAACATTTGATATTCAAGCAAATACTTTAAAATCACTGGGAAAATATTGGTAATGGTTTAGGGCAGATGGTTGCGGCAAGACTCTGATCTCTTGTCTAAAACATATTGTGCTCGGTTCAAACATTGTGTGTATAACAAAATATTCACCTTTTCAAAGCTATATTATGTTAGCTAGATCTCATCACATTCTGTCGTCTAATTTTTTGATTTCCAACTCCTTTGCAATTTACTTCTGCTGTCTAATTTTTTTATTACGAGAACTAATAGTGGAACCTTAAACA